TGTCATAATGGTGTCGTATTTTTTAACTCCTCATCTTTTAAAGATACATAATGAAATATTTTCAGATGAAATCTTTTGATGGCTTTAATGTGCTTTTAAAAGTTCCAGTTGTGGGTTTGTGGTTGGGGATATAAGTGAAACAACATTGTCCAAGAGTCGAGAATTGCTGAAGTTGGGGGATGGGCATGTAGGGTCTCATACACTACTACTCTCTCTTGTTTTTATTTGAAATTTTTCATAATGTAAAGAACAAAACATCTAACGAGCTAGAACGGTCATTTGCTGTCTATTTGAAAAGCTTTTTGTTTATTTCTTTTACATTCGTTGTTAAACAGAAACTGAGCATTAGTTGTGTACAGGGCTCTGAACAAGGCGCTTTGATGGATGCTAGGTAGTAAGCTGTTCTCTGCACTTGAGGAGCTTGCAGGAGGGGAGACAAGCACATCTCCATAGCAGCGCCCAGGTGTGGGGGGCAGGGACACCTCTGAGATATAGGCCAAAACAGCCTCTGTGGTTTGTGCAGGAACCTCTCTTCTCTTGGTCAAAAGCTTCTCCTCCCCACGGTCACTGTGAGGCACTTGTTCGGGGAGAAACACCAGTCACCGAAAGGAGTTCAGCTTCAGCACAACCCTGCTCCACTGGTCTCACAGTAAACAAAGCCCAGGAGAAGCCCGAAAGGTCAGAAGCTGAAAACAGACACCCAAGGCCCAGTTCTTCACAAACAAGAGGCTTTATTTTCATACTGTACCAAAAGAAAGGAAGAAAGAAAAGTAGGGAGAGCATTTGAAGGACTGGTTTTGTAGTAGAGAGCCACTTTGTCAATTTGAAAGGCAGGCCTGTGCCTGGCTAAATGGGGAAAAGGGAATCAGAGGCAACTGAGGACCCAGAGAGCTCTGGGAAGGGAGTGAAATGCAGTCACAGGTTGCGCAATAGCCCAGCCCCTCCATTGCCCCAAGAGAAGAAAGAAAAAGTCATAAGAACTTTGTGAGAGCTTCTTTCCCTTGGAGTCTGTGCCCCAAACCAACAATCCCTTCCCTGCCCCATCCAGATCATCAGCTGTTATCACTCTCTCCAGCCGAAGGCTCAGCCCAAATCAGCTCACAGATGTTTCCAGATAATGTTAGGTTCTAAGAATCCTGTTTCCTTTGATTAACAAGGCCCTTTGGCTTTATTTTCAATTCTATATAGATTGCAAGATCTTGCCCAGCC